TATCAAGCATTAATTTTCAATAGTAAACAAAATGTCATTGTGATGTGTTAAAAATAATACGAAAATTGTGTTTTTAGAAGGTGTTTAATTGATTAAGCAAAAGAAAACAAAGGCGTATCATGAATCACGTATGGCGTTAATTCATCTAAAAAGATTCATAATAATAAATTAAATTATATTTACGAATCGAATCAAAGATTGGGATTTTTTTTTCTCATAAATATTTCAACAAATTTTCTAGAAACCTTCACAATTAGACGAAAATTCTATCTGATGCAGATCTTCAAGAAATATTTCATCAGACATGTTAAATATTTTGTAATAATGACTGTAGGATTATTCGTTTGTGTTGATGAAGAAGTAGTAGGGTACAAATTTTTTTTTTTACTTTGGTGTTTGAAACATCGTTTGTGTTAGAAAGATGTTTTTTTATTGCTAGTGAATATTTTGTTAGTTGAAATTTTTCTTGTCATTGATAGTCTATAATATGTAACAAAGACACAGAATAGATGGCAGTTCTTACCAGAGAAATAGAGTTTCGTAAACAAAATGATCTATTTATTATATTCAATCAAAATAGATTCCAATTGCATGTTTAATCAATAACAAATCAATTTTCCACAAGATTTAAATTTGTCAAAAAAATCTTTTTTTCCATTCTTTAATTTTTGGACGAATCAATATTGTTATTACATTATGATTTTGAAATATCTGTTCGACTGTATATACGTAAAAATATTAAAATAAATATGCTATATGAAAAAGTCTTTTCAATTAAAAAGAAATGTCCATAATAGAATTAATTCCATTAAATAAAGGCAATCATATTATTCTTGATAATACTAGCATAACAACAATTGGTCGTATACCCAATATTGGTTGTTTAGATAATAAAATATCTCGTAATCATGCTCAATTATTTATTAAATCCGACGGAACATTATGGATAAAGCCAATACATCATAATCCAACATTTTATAAAACAAAAACTAATCAAATAGTCAGTCTAACGAAAAATAAAGAATATCAATTACACCATGATGATCAATTTGGTCTTTTACCAAATGAATATTTTTATCGAGTTTCAATTAAATCAAACGATGAACAATTAGAAAAGCTTTCTGATTCAAATCAAATAATAAATTCATCAACAGTGCCAAAATCTCCAATAAAAGACAGTGAAGTCTTAACAATTGAAAACCATAATGAAGAGAAAGCTGAAGTCAAAACTAGTTCCATTTCGGATAAAAGTCGTGCATTACCAACTTGGATGTCTAATAGTTCAATATCAACATCATCACGTGATAAAGAACAAAACAAAGAAACATCAGTTGCTATTCCATCGGTTAAAGAGCAAACTTGTAAATATTTATCATTTTCTATTGTTGGAATTTTTATCAATATTATCTATTAATTAGACTCTGAGAGACAAAAGACCAAAGAAATTGTTTATGAGGATGACGATGATGAACCTAATCCTGTTGCTACTTCAACAAGTTGAGAAATTTTTATTTGTCTTTCTAATCCAATGATATCAATTTGTTTGATATTATAGAACAAGCTAGTACATCTAATAATATCGATCTAACTACAAATAGTCCAACATCATCATCAACAACTATCAATCCTATTAAACGAGAACGATGTCCATATGGAGAATCTTGTTACAGAAAAAATCTAGTTCATCGACAACAAGCAATTCATCCTGGTGATCCAGATTGGGATACTGAAGATAATAATAAAACTAAAACAAAACCTGAATGTCCATATGGTAATGAATGTTATAGAAAAAATCCTGATCATTTAAATGAATATCATCATCCTAAAAAACGCTGTATTGAAATTAAAACTAAACGACGCACAACAAAACGCAAAGGTAACATTTTTACGAACATATACATATAAAAAAAATCATATACTTTTCAGAAACTGAAGATGATGATGATGATGATGGCTTACCAAATGAATATGATTATAATGATAGTTTTATCGATGATGAAGATCTTGATGATAGTGGCTGTACTACGGATGAAGAAAGTACATATTTTATAATAAATATTTGACTTTTTTTCTTGCTTCATTTTTATTTATCTATTCTAGCAATTATTGCATCTGATGATGATACTGAATGGAAACCATCAAAAAATTCTCGGTGTTTTGATGAATCATCATCTGATTCATCGGATGATAGTGAAATAGAATTAGCAAAGCAAGAAGCAGCTGAATTTATCAAAGATTCAACTGCTAAAAATCATGGCCCAGTAAATAAAAAACTCCGTGTTGAAGAGGAAGATGATGATTAATTCTCTAGTTATTTTTATTTTTACAATTGTACACAACAATGAATTGTATATAGCTTACTTCTTCGACAATGATTGTTTTGTATTTGTTTGATGTCAATGAAAGCATATAGCTTATCATGATGAAATATATATGTCATATTGATGTAATGAAAACAGGCTTATTTTTATGTAAAGGATTATTCATTGAGGAATCTGTCAATGAAACTTTAATCTATAGCGTAGTAAAAAGATTGTTTTCTAGTTATTAATAGATCACAAACATCCAAATTAATAGATCAATTCCACATACAGGAGATTAACATAAGATTTTCATCTCATATATATAGTGTTATTGTGTTTTCTGATATCATGACATGTTTGCAAACAAAGCATAACAAATAGAGTGCTACACCATATGACCTTTTTTTAATGACAAAAGAATAAACTCTTTCGCTTTGTATGTGGTAGAATTCATTGTAATTCTCCAAGTATGTTGTATTTGAAAATACCTTCAATTAAGAATTATTTCTAGACTATTGGAGACAAATTTTTATTACGATCGTAATTACACAAGTCTCTATGGTAGAAATGTTATTAATCTGGCTTGTCAAAAATTATGATACAGCACTTCGTTACCCATATCCAATTTTAGATAGTATAACTATCATATAATAATTGTAAATTTGATTTCATGATAGTTATTGAAAAATCTCAAAATTTAATACCCATTTAATCAATAGTAAATTTCGAAATTGATAATTTCTAGTTAATTGAACGATTGACCTACTTCCAATTCTACTTTAGTGTTATGGTAAAAGGATACTATGCTAGAAATGATTCTGTATTTTCATTATTCTAGAAAAAGATAAGTTCAAATCGATATCAGTACAAAAACGTGTATCCAACTGCGTTTTTCAAATTTATAAAAAGATTTTTTGAAATTATCGATGATTTTCTTATCAATTTTGATTAAGTGTCCGAAAAAAGAATCTAATCAGTTTCCACTAATATCTGATTCAAAAGCGTTCTTACTGAATTCTCTCTTTTTCTACAAAAATAAAAAGATAAAGAAAATACAAAGATCGAAATCATAAAAATTCTTATCAATTTTAAAATATTAACCCGTTTTATGATTAATTATATTTACGTAAAAATTCGATCAATAATACATTTTAGTAATCTGTTGTAATAAAAAGGTTCGAATCGCAATATAGAAAAAATTTTCATTTTTTTCTTATTGATACTTTTTAACAAGAACAATTTATTCAGTAGACTTGAAATTCCTTTATCTCATATTCAGTAAGATCTTGGAGGGAATATACAAAATATATTAATTACGAACCGACATATAAAGTACAACAACATAATCAAGTAATCGTGGAAAAATATCATAGACGTTATCTCTCGATTTTAAAAGAAAATAATGATGATATTTACAATAAATTTTCTTGAAGAAGAGTATGAGAACGTCGATGCAAAAAAAAAACTTTTTATATCTTAACAACAACAGAAGCGTTTTCCCTGTGCCGTCATTGGCTTCGTATTCTGCTAAACTCTTAACTAAGCAGGGAAAACCTTCTGAAATACGAACTCTCTATGCATTTTCAAACAACAATGTGCAATGTTCTGTTTCTATATACAAATTCATTTACGACAATCTACGATGAACGAAAGAATAAACTTCCAGACATCATATAAACAAACCGGAATGTGACAGTGTACGAAATTATATGACCATCAGTTTTTGCTTCATTCATTCGTTTTTTGTGGCACCAGAAACGGCAACTGATGCAAAAGAAATGAGAGGCACTTAAAAGAAACGAAAAGGAAACAAAAACAATTCGAACGACAACATCAATCGAAGTCAAATAGAAACATCAAGGGAAAACTTCGAACATACTATACAAATTCAAGTCATTTGACTTTCATTTTTTCATTGATCAAACACAACACATACCATGGACAAAAAGAAAAAGTCGACAACAACACCTGCTGCTGCTAAACCGTCTGAACATACGAGCATAAGCCTACGACTGTCTCCTTATGCTCGTATGATTCAGAATTTTTTGCTCGTCTGGCTCGAAAGTAACGTCGATCTAAAACACAATAAGGATTGCAAGCATACAGTTTCAAAATCAAAGAAAGTAGTCAACAAGATCAATACATTCATAGATGTCGATGAATGTATCAGTTTTATCAACGACATCAAACAGGACAAAATGTTTATGATCGCTTCTAGTGCATTGGGGTAAACCACAGTTCCCATCATACACGATATGCCTCAGGTCAGCACAATTTATATTTTTTATGGAAACAGCTCGATATGAACAATGGGCTAAACAATGACCAAAAATAAAAGGGATCTTTACAGATATTGCTCCAATCCGTAAAGCCCTTCAACAAGCAGCACAAGAATGTGATCAAAACATGATTTCGATCAGTTTTGTCTCCGCTGGTAGTGGAACCAGCAAACAGAACCTTGACCAACTGGATTCTTCATTCATGTACACACAAATAATGAAAGAAATTTTATTAACTATTTCTTTCGAACGACATCACATAGATGAATTTCTTACGTACTGCCGCGATGTTTTTGCCGACAATCCGAGTGAACTTCATCATGTCAACAAACTCCAACAAGAATATCGCAAGCATCTCCAGATATGGTGGTATATATACCAATGTTTTCTTTATTCGATGTTTAATCGATCATTACAAATGATGGAGGTCGATCTCATTATTAATATGGGTTTTTTCATTAGTGATCTCCACAATCACATCGCTAAGCTTCATGTTCAACAGTTTTCTGGACAATCAACTTCACATGCATTTACTGTCTATCATGATCAAGGATTGCCGAAAAATGATTTTGATCGAATGGTCAATCTACAAGGTGGACTCTTATTATTTAACAATTTCTTATCGACTAGTATTCATCGTAAAGTATCCCGCAATTTTGCTCGTCAAACTATGGAAACGTCTAATCTTGTGGGTAATTTATTTGTCATAAAAATTGATCCATCCATTGTCTCAACATCATTTGCTGACGTGCGTGATATCAGTTACTTCAAAGGAGAAGAAGTTCTCCTCTCCATGCATTCCATTTTTCGTATTGAAGCAATGAAACAAATCGATGGAAACAATCGTCTTTGGCAAGTCAATTTAACATTGACCAGTGATAATGACCCGGATTTTCATGCACTTACTGCACGGATGCGAGAAGAGACGAAAGGACCGACGGGATGGCTTCGACTAGGGAAATTGATGGTAGAATTAGCCTGATATGAGAAAGCCGAAGACTTATACGGGACACTGCTTGCTCAAAGAACGAATGACGATGATGAGAGAGGAAATATATATTATCAACTCGGACTGATCAAGCTTAGTCAAGGAGAATATGCAAACTTGCTCACATTTTATGAAAAATCGCTAAAAACTCATCGAAAAAATCTCTTGACACAACATCAAGATGTGACTGACTGTTACAACGACATTGGTGTCGTTCATGCAGAGATGGGTGACTATTCAAAGGTACTTTTATATCTTCAAAAAGCGCATGAAATCTATGAAAAAACTCTTCCTTCGAATCATCCTCAGTTGGCTACTTCTTATAACAACATCAGTCTAGTGTATAATAACATGAGTGACTATTCGAGTGCACTTTTATCTCATCAAAAAGCACTGGAAATCCGCCAGAAAACTCTTCCTTCAAATCATCCTGACTTGGCCAGTTCTTATAACAACGTTGGTACGGTGTATGACAACATGGATGACTATTCGAATGCACTTTCATTGTATGAACGTACTCTAAATACTCTACAATGTTTACTACCTCTTGATCATCCTCATCTTAATTGTTTAAGACAGATTATTGAAATTTTAAAAACAAAAATGTAATTTTTTTCTTTTGTTCGAAGAAATAAATGTAATGAAGAAAAAAGAGTATTTTCCTTTTGTTTTTATTTCAAGAGATACGCTCTCGTGCGTACAGAGAAATGTACTATTGAGAAAACAATGAGAGGATACTTCGTGATACAATAACAAATAAATGTCCCAATGATAGACATGTACTACAAAACACAGAGCTTTACAGTATAGTTTGTGGTTCAATGAGAAGAGTTTCTTTGTGTCGAATATAAACCCATCCGATAGACTGGTAGAAAAGAGAGAGGAGAAAACAAATGTCTTTTATTTATGGATCAAAGAAAAATGAAGAGAATACTTATCTATCGAATGATTTACTTCTATATACAATTGCATTGCTGCTGCATTTGGGACAGAACGAGTAATTCATCTATACATAGAAATAATTCATTCAATTGATGAGAGAGACCAATAATGGTTAAATACATCAAAAACGATGGTTTTATATATGAATAGAGCATATGATTCTTTTGCAGAAGAGAAGTTCACAGCTGATTGGTTTGCTTACGCAAATGTCGATAATTATATTTATCACTTAATAGTTTAACTTGAGAGAAAAATAAAAATAAAATAATTAAGGAATGGGCAAGAAAAATGACAATAGACTAGTATCATTCACATGAAATGAATAACGAATATATAAAGCATGGACTATAATCATTCTAAATGATTTCAATATCTCTGTTTTTTGTCACTCGTATGAATAGGTCTTGTTTGAGAAATAAAATGAGTTCCAATTCTAAATTAATGTATTTGATCGGTTCAATAATGAGAACCGCCGAGAAAAGCGTAATTGAATACGCATATTGATTCGTTTTACGTCTATAATAGAAATCTCAGAACTGCAACAATTGTATTTCGATTTCTTTTGCTTCCGAATCTCTTTTTGAAAAGAAATGATACATCATGATTTTGTTTCTTATTTTTGTACTAACTTGAAAAAGTTCGAAAAAGACTTTTTATTTTCGATAAGAACTGCAATGCTTCTCATGAACAAAATATTTTCAATAAATGATCTAAATTAAGTGAATAAATGAAAATTCAATAGACAAAGAAAAACAAGTTTCATATATATTTATGATTACTAGTTCGTACGTCATCGATGTCTCCACTATATCAAAGTTCGGAGCATGTTTACAGATGAATTATATGAAATCAAGCGAAAACTTACGAATATCATCTAATCAAAATAACTGGATCAATTTCGAACTTCATGTTTGAAAAACGAATCCTGATTTTTTGAAAATTTTCTAATTTCTTCTTCAAGTAAAGTTCGTTTTAATTGAGTTTTTGAATAACTAAAACTAGAGACTTCTCAAATACGTTTCTGAGATGTTAACTATAGTTCATACATTTCTCAAGTTAAGTATTCAGGAAAAGTATTAGATATCGCGATGTCGTGGTAAAGTTGTTTTCGTTTAAAACGTTCCTGTCACACTTGTCACTATTCTACATAGTTATTATTCACTCACGAGGTTTTTCAAATACTGAAAAATTTCGCATCTTCGATTTTATTCTCTCTTTCAAAACATTTTTCGATTTTTCTCGGGAAATAATGTTCAAAAATGAGCCGATTGGATCTCTATTAGACTTTAATACGCATTTTGCGACCGTGATTGCTTTTCTTCTTACCCTAAATCCTATAACCATCAGTGCTTCCTAGCTCTTTGTCCTTAAGAACTCGAATGTTGTACTGATACAATGAGACCTCTATTGATAGAATTATAATTGGTTCATACAATACTGAATCATTGTAAATAAATAAATACTTCTATCTGTTTGTCCATTTGTGTTTGTCCGTAAAATAATTCAGTTCCAAGATTTATTTTCGATTTTCACTTTTCAGATTTACACGATTTATAAATTCGATTAAAAAAATGTCGCTTTTCGGTGGAGTCACATCTCAAGCACGTAGTCGAAATTTAGTTGAATTTAAAGCAGGAAAAATGACTTTGCGTGGAACAATGGTCTGTTATATATAGTGTCTTATTCAACTTTTTTTTTGTGATTAATTGATTTTCTTATATGTTTTAGGTTCATCCAGATAAACGCAAAGGTCTTGTTTATTTATATCAAGGCAATGATATGTTAATGCATTTTTGTTGGAAAGATCGATCAAGTAATACACCAGAAGATGATCTTGTTATATTTCCAGATGAAATTGAATTTAAAAAGGTTACACAAAATACAACAGGTAAAAACAGTGAATGAAATTCACGAATTAATAATTTATTTTTTTTTTCTTTTAGGACGTGTTTATATTCTTAAATGGAGAAGTAATGCTCGTAAATTATTCTTTTGGATGCAAGAACCAAAAGACGATAAAGATGAAGAATGGTGTAAAAAAATAAATGATCTTGTAAAATAAAATTTTTCATATTAATTGTAAACAGAAAAATATTTTCTTTTTGTTTTTCGTAGCTTAATCATCCACCAACACCAGGTTTTGGTGATGATAGTAGTGGAGCTGGTGGATTAGGTAGTGGTGCTCATCCATTACAATCATTAATGGATCGTATGGCAGGTAGCAGTGGTGCTGGTGGCATTGATCCGAATGATTTATCAAATGTTTTACGTGGTGAAAATAAAATTTTTTCATTATGAAAACAAATAAAAGAAACAACGAATTTCCTTTTACATATAGGAATGAATCCGAATGATTTAGCATCATTATTATCTTCAGTTGGAAGTGGTGGTGGTGCTCCAGGTTTAATGCAAGGTAGTCATCGTGGTAGAGTATTGCCTGGTACATCAACTCAACACGCAACATCTCTTCTAGATGCATTTGGTCAACAAACACCGGATTCTCGTCCAAATACAGCACCAGCTGCAACACGTAGTACAGGAACAGCAACCGCAACAGCAACACCAACTGGAGGAACAACATCAGCATCGAGTAGTCGTCCTAGTGGTTCATCATCATCGAAACCACGTAATGCTGGAACAAGTTCATCACCATCAACAGCTGCTCCAAAAAGTGGAACTAGTGCAGGAACAACTGGTGGACCAAAAGGTGGTCCTATACAAATGAGTGCACTCACAAGTATTTTGGCTAATTTAAGTGATAAAACTACAGCTCAAGAAACTGATAATGCAGCAGCGGCTGCTAGTAAACCGACTATTGATCTTTACGATATAATGACTGCTGAGGTAATATTAAATTGTTTAGAAAAAAACAACAAGAAACATTTCAATTGTCTCTTTTGTTCTTTCATATTTAGAATTTGATTCCAATATTAAGTAATAAAGATGTTCAAGAAACATTACGAAGTCATCTACCTGAAGGTAGTACAGTCTCAGGTTCAGAAAAAGAATTAAGAGAATCAATTCAATCACCACAATTTCGACAAGCTGTTGGCACATTTAGGTTTGTTTGAATATCTTTTTTGTCTCCTTATTAGAATTTGAATGTTTTGTCTTTTTTTTTTTCTTGTGTGTCATTTAGTGTTGCTTTACAAACAGGACAATTAGGTCCAGTTTTAGCACAATTTGGTTTACCAGAAGAAGCAATAACAGCTGCAAATCAAGGTGATGTACAAGCATTTGCTCAAGCCATGGAAAAGCATCATAAAAAAACCAATGAAGAAAGTGATGAAAAAAAACCTTCGGATAATACAATGGATACAAGTTGATCAATGAATACAACAACTATTTTATCAGTTTCTTTTTTGTCTTGCTTGATTTTTTTTCATTTGAATTTAAAAACAGGAGAAAACAACTAACATATACCCTTCATTTCTATGCAATGATTGTTTTTTTTTTCTTTATTATTTCACTATAGTAAAGATAATAACATTGATGATTAGAGTTCTAAATATTTCTTTTACCGAACATACTTATTGTCAAAAGCAAAAAAGCAAACAACACAAAAAAGATTGACATTCTAAGACTTATCAGTTACAAAATATGAATCATCGAATGATTTATGTTTCTTTTATTATCGCAGTAATGATACAAGATCAGATAAAAAACAAGAAGAAAAATACGAAAGTTGCGCATGTCTATTGTGAATTGTTTTTATATTGGATAAACTATTTTTATTTTTATTTTTTTGTTTTAACATTAACTGATAGCTCGATAATCACGCCATCTTTTACACATTGACAACAAGACGAATAAAGTAAGTCTTATATATATTTTATTGGATTTTTGTATAATAGTACAATATATTGATGTACATTCTCTCATAGTAATAAATATGATTGACTGTTGATGGCTGCTTGCTTATCAGTCTTTTTCTTGACAGCCATGTAGATGTATGTACATTAAGAATTAGTTTATTTATCAATGAATAGAGTAGAAAAAATCGTTGTTTCCTTTTGTTGTGCAAACTCTCTACTTTTTATGAAATTTCATGA